GAAAGGATGGAAGACAATACTCCAAGCTAATGGCAAACAAAAAACTGTTGGTTTCACTGATTTTCTCAATTGTTTTCTATTCTCTATTTCATTTACTTCCATTCTAATCTTTATTAATCCCTCCCTTCTGCTTGCTTGGGTTTAGTTTGCTCTTCATTTTTAGTTTCTTAAGGCGGAAGAAGGTTTTTAATTTGAGAGCTTCTTTTTTAATATAAATGTTTACAGTTATAAATTTCCCTCTTAGCACTGTTTTTGCTGCATTCCTTAAGTTTTGATGTGTTGTGTTTCTGTTTTTACTCAGCTCATAGTAATTTCTAATTTTCCTTTTTTTTTAAATTAATTTATTTATTTAGTGTGTTTGTGTGTGTGTGAGGAAGATCAGCCCTGAGCTAACATCCAAGCCAATCCTCCTCTTTTTGCTGAGGAAGACTGGCCCTGAGCTAACATCCGTGCCCATCTTCCTCCACTTTATATGTGACGCCGCCACAGCATGGCCTGACAAGTGGTACATCGGTGCCCGCCTGGGATCCGAACCCAGGCCACCAGCAGCAGAGTGTATGCACTTAACCACTATGCCACGGGGCCAGCTCCCTCCCTTTTCTTTTTTTGATCATTGATTATTTAGGAGTGTGTTGTTTACTGTCCACATTTGTGAATTACTAAAATTTCCTTCTGTTTTTTGATTTCTAATTTCTTTCTATTGTGGTTAGAAAACACATTTTGTATGATTTCAACCCTTTCAAATTTACTGAAACTTGTGGCCTAACCTGTGGTCTATCCTGGATAACGTTTCATGTGCACTTGAGAAGAATGTATTCTACTATTGTGAGATGGAGTGTTCTAGAGATGTCTGTTAGGTCCAGTTGTTTTATAGTGTTGTTCAAGTCTTCTATTCCCTTGTTGACCTGTCTTATTATTCTATCCCTAATCAAATTTTTTATCCTCAATGGCAACAACAATAAGGATCACAAGTGCTCACTACGTGACTCCCTAACGTAGCGGACAACAGGCATTGCTGGCTGCAGGTCTTTAGCCTGAGAAAGCTGTCAAGTTAAGCAATTTCTTCTTAGGCTTCTTTATCATGTCATTAACAGAAATTAAAATGGAAAAACAAATGAGTTCCACAACTTGACTTCCTACTACATGATCATTTTAATTTTGCTATGACAGTCTCCTAAAAAACTGAACTTACTCATATCCCTACTTCAGCAAATGTCCTAAGAATACTGAGAGATCACTGCAGGCAGGCTTCTTGTAGCTGGAGCGGCTGGCAAACGAGTGGAAGTCTTTTGCTTCCAACCATCCTCAATGTGAAGAGCAATAAGATGTATGACTGCAGTTGGTTTTTACAGGTAAGGGAAATCCATACTGCTGTAAACTTGAGTCTGGTCAAATCTGTGGCTAAAGGAAGGAGAAAAAGAATACAGCTCCCCAAGCTGCTCCTTGGTCTCCCAGGGATTAGCTGAGCTGCTGAGCAGCATCTTCCACCAGCCACGTCCTTAACCCACAGGCTGCCACCCAATGACCTGGGTGAGGGTGAGGGACCAATGCACTGGGTTTACTGCCTTCCTTCTGCCTTCCTTCTTTTTATTGTTTTTAAAAGACCTCAAATCCTGCAAAAACCATCCTCTCCTGCCATTTCCACTCAGATAACTTGAGCAGCCCAGGTCAGAGAGAAATGAAATGTTTCAAGTAGCTCCATCTACAGATAAGAGTAATCCAACGCACTTTTCAACTCCTCTCCCATTTTCTGCCCATAGATATCCCATTATTCATCCTTTCAAAGTCCAGCTCAGGCCGGCCCTGTGGCTTAGTGGTTAAGTGCGTGCGCTCTGCTGCTGGCGGCCCGGGTTCGGATCCCGGGCGCGCACTGACACACCGCTTCTCCGGCCATGCTGAGGCCGTGTCCCACATACAGCAACTAGAAGAATGTGCAGCTATGACATACAACTATCTACTGGGGATTTGGGGGGAAAAAAAAAAAAAAAAAAAACCTTAAAAAAAAAAAAAAAAAAAAAAAAAAAAAACAAAGTCCAGCTCAAATGCCACCTTTTCCACAAAACCTCCCAACCCCCTCTTTCTCCACCCAAATTAACAGTTCTTCATGTGCACAGCCCACTAACGATACCTACTTCACCACGATTCTATTTATCTTGGATATTTAATTGTGAAATGAAGAAAGCATGGTGCGATAGAAAAATGCAGGCTTTGAAACCAAGCAAATTTGGATTCAAACTCTGACCCATGGCAGAGGTAGACCACTAAGGACAAGATGATCATGTAAAGGACTGAGCACTCTGTTAATATGGGTGTCTTTTGTCTATCCTCACCACCTTGCTCTCTGAGGGCAAAGGCATTTTGTCATCTTCACTTCCCTTCTGCCATGTCCCTCAGTAGCATCACTATCATAATAAAATTAGTAGGTAACATTTATTTATTATGTGCCACCACTGATCAAAGCACATTCCATTACATATATTAACTCAGTTAATACTTACAAAAACCCTCAAGTAGATATTATTATTATCCTTATTTTACAGATAAGGAAACGAGGCAAAAAAGTTAAGTAAACTTACCCTAGGTCACACCTCTGATAAGTAGTAGAGTCAGGATCTGAATACGGTATATTTGGCACCAAAGCTTGCTCTCATTACCATCATACTATACCTCCACTCTAAGTATGGTCTTTGTCAATGAAGAAATTTGCCTTTTTAGGTAATATACACAACATTTAGGCAAAATCTGACTGAGGCATGGTTAGCTGTCCCCAGAATTTCACTTGCCATTAAAAGGAAAATAGGCTTTTCCAAACAAAGTCATAAGATCATAGAAAACACCCAACGTTTTCCAACACTACCCCAACTGAAATCTATTTTTTTCCCCCCAAAGCCCCAGTAGATAGTTGTATGTCATAGCTGCACATCCTTCTAGTTGCTGTATGTGGGACACGGCCTCAGCATGGCCTGAGAAGCGGTGCGTCGGTGCACACCCGGGGTTCTGAACCCGGGCCGCCAGCAGCGGAGCGCACGCACTTAACTGCTAAGCCACGGGGCCGGCCTTGAAATCTATTTAAGTACAAAATTTAGGTAGAGTTTTTCTTCTGAAGTAAAAACAATTCTATTTAATCAAGCCTTCCTTAATCTGACAATGAAGACCAAGTTAGGCATGCAGGAGACTACTAAAGAATTAAGTGATCTTTTCAATTACCAATCTCATATTACTTTTCACAAATACCTGAACTCCAACAGCAACACGGCAGGGCCTAATCTGTTTATCATTTAAATCAAATCCCCAAAATAATTTCAGATATCGTTTCTCCTACAGCAACTGTTTTCTTTGTACAAATATTAATGGTCTAAGCCATGGGTTCTCATTACTGTACTTCAACTAATTTGATCTGAATTTTATGAGGGAGTGATTGCCTATTAATCAATGTGGACGTTTTCAAAAGGTCATATTCCCAGAGAAGACTTACACCACAGAGCAAGCATAACATCCTTTCTTGCTACTCTCACGAATTAAGAATGCACCATCAGGTTTCCCATAAAGCAAGTCCTCTGCTTGTACTCGATTGACATCCTCAACAAACCAGGTTTTCTCATCATAATGGGGCAGGTTTTCATCTTCTTCATTGATAAAATAGGTCCTAAAAATTAAATGTTAAAATATTATTCTAACAATCAGGTTACTTATATCTAAAAGCAAATTCATGAATAAAACTCTCTTTTAAATCTCTAACCACAAAATGACAAAGTGAAATTGCAACTAGTTGGATTTTTTTTAACAACTTCATTACTTGCTATGTGCAGAAAGCACAGAATTTGCATGTCTCATCCAATAAAGCTGACACATGAATGTCTGAACGAGCAATGCTTATGGATCCAGGTTTCATGTGGTTTGGCAGGTCTCTGAACTCAAGTGCCTATAGGGTACTCTTTAGGCAATTCAATTCAAAAGACGTGCAAAGTTCTTGATTCGATGTCCTCAAGTGACAATGAGAACCCACATTTAGCATGTATAAAAAAGGCCCATCTCTTATACTGGGAACAAAGCCCCCCTGACAGAAAGGTACAGAGACAACTTACTCATCAGCATCCTCATTCTTGATTCCCAGCCAGGCATTTAGGCGCTTCTGTCTCACTCCTTTGTGATTGAGCCATCTGCCAGAGGGAAGACACCAGTGTCAGTATCTGTGCAAACTCTGCCTATACAAAGTAGATTCGTTCAAGCCAACAAACTTCCAGAGTCCAGGAACCTCTTATTTTCCCCAGTCCTACTAAGGGTGGCCAGAGATTTCCCTAAACTAGTTTCCCCATTACTTTTCCTTCAACTTTTTGCAAAAAGGCAGAAACACAGAGAGCTACCCGAAATTAGGCACTTCTCTCACTTTTCACTTTCCTTTTCTAGAAGGTTATATCACTATAAGCACACACATATTTGCACTCAAACACAGTGAGACATTTGTTTCTCATATCATTAGTTAGGTGAGCATAGTGTCACATTTGCAATCTCCACTAAGCCAGAGGACTCAATTCCTGTGTGGCCTATTACACTGAGTTTAAAATTCTAAAACAGAATTTCAAGGTCTATTTTTGCACTTAAGCAAGCCACAAGAAATTCAAGGTGGCAATCTGAGTAATTAATAAGAATTTTCTTCATCACAAGGCAAATCACAGTATTTTAAAGTATACCAACATTTTAGATGTAAAATGATATAAACCATTACATTTTAGTTCCATTGAGATGGCTGATGGTCTAAAACTTGAGTAGAGTATAAAAACTCTTTCATTCATCACCATGCCCTACCCAGGCTCATAATCAACCAGGTCTCATCATAAACATCACCTCTTCAGGGAGGAATACCCTAATTGTCCCAACTAAGGCATCCGCCAGTCACTCTCTATATTTTACCTTATTTTATCATATTCATAGCACTTGCCTGAAATTCATTATTTTATATTTTCACTTGTTTACATTTGTCGCCCCCACTAAAATGTAAGCTGCTTTAAAGCAAGGGCTCTGTCCTGTTCATGCTATTCCCAATGCTGAAAAGAGTGCAAGCACCTAGCAGATATTCAATAGATCAGTAAATATTTGCTGGTGGGCTGTTTTTAACAAAATCTTCAGGGTCAACTCCAAGGTCATCTTGTATCTCTCTCTGATCCCAAGTACACTCAGATAACTTGACATCACACCTAATTTTAAAGTTCTTTTAGATAGATTTCATAGCCTTTCTCAGTAAGACGTGTCCTTCAGTTAACCTGGGTTTCATTTTTTCTACTTAGTGAAGCTGGAAAGCATCTAACACATGATCTTGATAGAATTTACTTAGTAACAAACCCCCTCCCATAGCATCACTTCTCTTAGCAAAATGTCCAGATACCCTCTCCAAACATTCTTATCATCCAAAGTTTTCTATTCTTAAAGAACTGATCTTTTCTTTAGTAAAGAGACAAGCACACCTGGTCAAGGGCTTGAAATGAACAAACTGCACCACATCTTCTCTTGAGTCCCCATTTTCTTTTAACCATCACCCTTTTAAACTGAGCTTCCCTTTCTGCCACAAGGAACGTTAGGACACCCAGGAAAATCCGGGAGAAAGAGAAGAACGTTTTTGGTTCACCCTCCATCTATGATGGTCTCTGCCTTCTGACATAGGCAACTTTTCTAATCTCCCAAAAGTCCATTTCAAATACTACTATATAGTTCTGAGTCCTTAACATCTATTAACAATGCCAGGAACTGACTATCTTTTAAAAATGATTTTGAAAAAGCTCAAGTAACTTTGTAAGCATGTTAATTCATATTTAACTTATTGTTATTGATTAATGCCTAGACCACAACTAAACACAGTACATTCTAGAGGAAAAATCTGAGGCAAAGTATCAAAAGACCCAATACCTAGTTCTCATTCTGTTACTAATTGTGAGATCTTGATCAGGCTCTCCTTATGCCTCAGTATTCTCTTCTAAAAAACAGGAAAAATACTATTCCCATAGCTTACATTGAAGTTACCTTAAGAAAAACAAGAGAGAAAAAATAGCTGGTGTCAGCATATCCTTACCTAGCTGCCACTCCAGCAAGCAGGAAAAAAATATACATATAGATACATGGTGCCCTTTCTAAAGGTTCTAATGAGCCTTTCAACCCAACTACCACCCTCTAAGAGGAAAAGAGCTTGTGTTTCAGTCCACGAAAGAGGATTAAACTGGACAGTCCCTGAGAGAGGAGGCTAGGAAAAACTACTTTGAAGCTGAAGCAGTAGTCCTGAAGGAAAATTTAGGCTTCCCTAGAGCCTGGCTAAAGTATGAGGCAGGGTGACAGAAAAGGGTGCCCCATGCACAAGGCACCCTGGATGGAGGACAAGAAGACGCAGAGTCTGTTGGTGGTCAATAAGATTACTGTGAAGAATACCTCTGAACTTTCTGGAACAGCAGTATTTAACCAGATGGCAAGACACAATGACTGGGGCAGAGGAAGCATCCAGTGATGGCAGTGATGAGGGATAAGGGACTGTGCTCCCCTAGTTTCCTGGCACTAGCTCAGGATGACATTCTTAAATGATCTGTGTGTGTGCATGTATGTGTAGGAGGTGGGAAGAGCCCTAATCATAACTGGGATAAAATACTTCTCATATAACCAGGCAGGTGGGAACTTTGAATAAATTAATTTTAATTTAAAGAAAAAGAGGAATACAACTTGTCTTGCACAAAGTTTTATGGACAGAACTTCACATGCCCTAAAGAAGAATAAAATGAGATAATATATCAGACATTTTGAAAAATTAAATCACTTTTTTTTTTTTTTTTGTGAGGAAGATCAGCACTGAGCTGACATCCGTGCCAATCCTCTTTTTGACGAGCAAGGCCGGCTCTGAGCTAACATCCATTGCCAATCCTCCTCCTCTTTTTTTCCCCAAAGCACCAGTAGATAGCTGCATGTCATAGTTGCACATCCTTCCAGTTGCTGCACGTGGGACGCAGCCTCAGCATGGCCGGAGAAGCGCGCGGCAGTGCGCGCCCGGGATCTGAACCTGGGCCGCCAGCAGCAGAGCACACGCACCCAACCGCTAAGCCACGGGGCCGGCCCTTAAATCACTTTTAAAAATTTAAAGTTATAAGAGATAAATTAAGGACTGATTCCACTACTTTAAAAAACCCAGACCATCGCTGGTGGAAACGTAAAATAGTGCAGGCACTTTGGAAAAGTCTGGCAGTTCCTCAATTAAACATACAATATGACCTAGCAATTCCACTCCTCAGCATACACTCAGGAGAACTGAAAACATATGTCCATACAAAAACTTGTACACGAATGTTCACAGCAGCATTATTCATGATAGCCAAAAGATGGAAACAATCCAAATGTCCATCAATTGAAGAATAGTTAAACAAAATGTGGTATATTCATACAATGAAATATTACCTGGCCATAAAAAGGAATGAAGCACTGATACATGCTACACATGGATAAACCTTGAAAACATTATGCTGAGTAAAAGAAGCCACTCCCAAAAAACTACATATTATATAATTCCATTTATATGAAATGTCCAGAATAGGGAAACCAATAAAGACAGAAAATAGATTAGTGGTTGCTTAGGGCTGGAGGGAATAGGATGATAGGCGATGCTAGGTAAAGCATACATAGTTTCTTCTTGAGGTGATAAAAATGTCCTAAAATTGACCATTGTGATGATTGCACATATCTGTGAATATACTAAAACACGTAATTATACACTTATATGGGTGAATTGTATGGGATGTGAACCATATCTCAACAGAGTTGCTTAAAAAAAAAACAAAAAACAGAACACACCACCCTCCACAGAACTCCTTTAGCTGCAAACTCCTCTAGAACGTATTACTCAAAACTCGTCATTAATGCACCTATATTGTTATGGCAAGTTACTCTTTATTTTGAATTTACGAATTTAGGTTTATGAACACAAAGAAAAGTAAACGGGGACCATAAAAACTAACTCCTGATGAAAAAGAATTGCACGAGAACAACCAAATTCCTGTTTTGAAAAGGAATTTTAAAGGATTTTATATAAAAGAAATTTTTACTCTATATTTAAGAAACAAAATTCTGTATTTAAGCATTCAAGAATATTCTACATACAGTAAAGTTGCAGGGTACAAAATGAACATACAAAAATCACGTGCATTTCTACACACTAACAATGAACTAGCAGAAAATCAAAAATACGATCCCACTTACAATTACAACAAAAAGAATAAAATACCTAGAAATAAATTTAACCAAGGAAGTGAAAGATCTGTACACTGAAAAGTATAAGACATTGTTGAAAGAAATCAAAGAAGACACAAAGAAATGGAAAGATACTCCGTGCTCCGTGCTCATGGACTGGAGGAATTAACATAGCTAAAGTCCATACTTCCTAAAGCAATCTACAGATTCAATGCAATTCCTATCAAAATCCCAATGACATCTTTCACGGAAATAGAACAAAGAATCCTAAAATTTATATAGAACAACAAAAGACCCCGAATAGCCAAAGTGATCCTGAAAAAAAAGAACAAAGTTGGAGGTAACACACTCCCTAATTTCAAAGTATACTACAAAGCTACAGTAATCAAAACAGCATGGTACTGGCAGAAAAACAAACACAGAGACCAATGGAACAAAACTGAGAGCCCAGAAATAAACCCACACATCTATGGACAACTAATTTTCAACAAAGGAGCCAAGAACATACAATTGAGAAAGGAAAGTCTCTTCAGCAAATAGTGTTGGGAAAACTGGATAGCCACATGCAAAAGAAAGTAGACCACTATCTTACACCATACACAAAAATTAACTCAAAATGGATTAAAGACTTCAATGTAAGACCTGAAACCACAAAACTCCTAGAAGAAAGCATAGGCAGTACACTCTTTGACATTGGTCTTAGCAATATCTTTTTGGATATGTCTCCTCAGGCGAAGGAAACAAAAGAAAAAATAAACAATAGGACTACATCAAACTAAAAAGCTTCTGCATAGCAAAGGAAACCATCAACAAAAGGAAGAGACAACCCACCAACTGGGAGAAAATAATTGCAAATCATATATCCAATAAGGGGTTAATTTCCAAAATATATAAAGAACTCCTACAACTTAACAACAACAACAACAAACAACCCATTAAAAAATGG